CGACCACGTTACAGAGGCGATTGGTGTGAAGTGATCTCTCAAAAATAGGAGAATGGACCTCACAAAGGGTTCGCTATCCCGAATTCAGTGACAGTTTCAAGTTGTTAGAGAGGGTTTGGATTCCCAGGCAGGGATTTACGTTGCCCGAGGTTGATTTGATATGATAAGCGGTATCCGGTATGATCCGACGATGGATCTGATATGAATAACGTACGGGAAGGCAGGATCCTCCAAGGGGAGACTTGGATCCACTCTCATCTGAGTTCACTTAGGGGAATATGGGATATACTATGTACAGGTGAATAGATTTGGAATCCTATGAAGGAAGAAAGTAGGTGTCATCTGAAGGTGGATCTGGCATCAATGACTAGCGAGAAGGCGAGATCCACCGCGATATGTCCCAGATCCCATACTTCCGAGTCCGGATCCAAGGAGGTGAGGATCCCAAACGGAGTGACCTGGATCCAAGATATGGGGATGGTGGATACAGTGAATCTCGAGCTTTCGTGGAGTGACGAAGACCACAACCCGTCGTAAGACAATGCTAGGAGATTGGAGGGCTCATACCCATGACGAGTGCACACTTGCAGTGAAGTGGATTAGGGTGGCCTGGATCCGGACAAGTGTACCCATAATGTGACGACCATAATGATTACGCCATGGAGCTGGTGGATCTGATGATAACACAGCTGGGATGATGGGTCCAGGAGAGAAAGGGCATGCAGCCGAGCCTAATAAGGGATTTCGCAGGTAAAAGACATAGAAGGTAGAAATCCAGGCAGGTATAGGCATAGGTATCAATACAGTCTTCAATTTGCACAGTAACACGCAAGTGCCTTCCTGCCCTCAAGAATTGGAACTACATTGGCCGTACGAGCTTGGAGAAGGTTGGGAATTGCAACACTAGTGTTGGTAGTGATAACTGGATAATACATTGGCCAGATCCTACAACCTAGTGAGCTTTCCTTTACACGTGCAGATCCGAAAGGCTAACCGGATTTACTACTTGGCCGACTACACCCTAGAAGTTCTCAACTCTCAAGATCCCGTCACAGGAGGCGGCAAGTACGACGCAAAGGCAAGGGATCACACCCACAAGGCAACCCTACGGCCAAATCCACAATCTAGGCCCTGGATCCACCAAGCTCGAATATTCGCTTGGGATCCAGAACCAACCACGGACGCAGAGTGAATATTTTACCACTGCTGCTCCACCTACCCCCACGTCTCGCCAAGACACTCAAGCTTCACCACTTGAGCGTTTCGGAAGTTACCGAGAGAACAAGATCCCGCCCTACCGACGGGTACACAAGGTGAGGAAAGTTCAGCAGAGCACGGATCATCGGGGGACCCCCTCCGTTAGTCCGTGTCTGGGCGTTGTTGGTAAGTTGGATCCAGCAATCTCGCAGATTTCGCTGACCCCGCTACACCACAGCGACTGGCACCGATTGCCTTGCCTCGCCAGTCGATCCAGGGCTCGTGCTTCTCTAGCCAGGGCATGCCCAGGATCATATCATATGGATCCATGTCGAGAACAGTGAGCTGTTCGAGGCTGTCGAAGTCTTCAAACTTGACGGTCGGACATTAGGGACAGTGACGATCTTCCCGTCGGCCAGTCGCACTGACACTGTCCCGCTGTCCTTACTTTATCTCGAAGCATCGGACAACTTGTTGCTATTACGAACAACTGTCTGGCGGCGTGCGAAATTTTTCTACGCCCCAGAATCGATCAAGATTTTAAAGAGATGATCGTATCCCCGTACACATCGGTGTACTACGATCAGCCCGCCGCTGCTCTTCGTCGATTCGAGAGTGTGAAGACGCTCAGGGACCAAGTCCCCGTGGTACGCGCCACCCGCGCACCCTTCACGAAGACTTAGTTCTTCCCCAGTAGGGCGCCCCGCCCCTACTGGTTTCCGGCGTTCCCGTGTCCCCGGGATACTGGCTTCTGCCAGCGACCCTTGAGGGCGGGCTTGAGGAACGATCGTCTGCGGAGTCTTTCCGCGGGACAGTCGCGCTTGAAGTGGCCCATCATCCCGCAGCCGAAACGGATGGCACGCTGTTCAGCGGACCCGGGTTCCATGGGAACTGGTCTGTCGGGGCTCGTTTGACCGGGAGTCGACAAGGAGCTCCCAGGCCATGCTGAGGCCGGCGTAAGCGCCGATTGATGGCTGTACTCTTTCTGAAGAGCCACTTGAATCGCCTCTATAAGGGTGTTTGACTGCACCCGGAACAGATGAGTGCGCGCGGGGCCCACTCGAAGGCCGTCCATGAACACAGTTAATTTGATGTGTTCGTTGAGTGGGTTTCCCACGAAGGACGCCGTGTGTTCCCGAATCTCTTGCACGTACTCGTGCACCTCGCCTCCCTTCTTTGCACGAGAGGAAGCGCGAACGATTGCGGTACTCGTAGCTCGCCGGGAGGAACGCGGCTCGGAGCTGTTCACACAGCTGAGCCGAGGATGTTTCACATCCTGGTGATGTTGCTTCCCGTGTGTACACCCAACGCTTTGCACGGCCGCTAAGGTTGGAGAGTGCAAAAGCAACACGAAGTTGCTCGGTCGAGATCAGAGCCGCGTCCATCGCGAGCTCTACTTCTCGGACCCAGAAGTGAAGGTTCTCGCCTTCCTTCCCTTCATACGGCCTAACGTTTGGCCGTAATGGCTTCAGGTGAGGCGGATTTGCTTCCGCCGCCGGAGCCTGCAGGTTCTCCGCGATGAGACCCTGCTCGTACGCGTCAACGCATTGACGCGCTCGAGCTGGTCGGCCGGTGCTGACACCACCAGGCTCTGCAGGGCCTCCATCTCGAAGATGCCTGTCATCTTCCGAACCGACTCGAACTGTGAGTCGTTCATATGGGAGAAGTCGTTCCTATCCATGGCAACGAACTTCGGAGAGGTCAGGTAGTCTACCCGCGGTGGCGTGGATTGACTACGAGTGCTATCAAGTGTGACGGGGTCACACAGCACCTTGCGCTAGAGGAAGTTATCTTCCGAGAGTATGGAAACTCCCAGTGAACGGCAGTTCACAGGTCCCCTTTTATCGAAAAGGGAGCGTAGTGACCAATTTAAGGTAGAATGTAATCTAAGTATATTTATAGTAAGATAAAGCTTGGGTTTAATACAAACGATAAGTCACCTATAGAAAAGCAATGTCATCAGCCGCTCTGGATGACCTTGGTACCTTGTACCAAATATCCCGTGTCACACTTCATGTAACTAGGGGTACACTTAGGGCTACGTACCCCGTTACACTACTGGAGTGCATGAGGATCGAGATGATCAGGGATATACACTTGTCCAAGTCGACCTAGCCGCATTTGGCGTCCAAACGCTGGACCATACGTTTGTCTGTTGCGTGTACACTCGCTAACACATCGTAGACGCATCGTTCAGCAGTCAAAATAGTTTGAGACTACGCCAAGACCATCTCATTCGATGAAGGGTCTAAATTTCAAAATTAATTAATTCAAATACTTTGTGTACGATCTGTCGAGCGTTTGCAACCAGCGATAATATTTTGAATCGTGAGACTTGGTCCAATTCAATGTTTATCACTGTACTTATATTTGCCTCCAATAACCGCTCTAGAGGGTAATTTACGTGCCAAATCCTGCCTGGAGGCCTCAGATACGATATCACACTTAAATAGGAAGTGGATATAGGAGTCATCCACTCCCAATAACGACTCTAGCTTTCGATTTCTGTACTTGCCAAATTCTAGCTTCGTCTCGCTAAAAGAAGTCAGACCGCGGTCTCGACAATCCTTACAATATTTGTAGCAACCCCTGTACCGGCGTTGGCAGCCGAGGCACACCTGATAGTGCCCACCAAAAAGCTATACACACTCTGAACCAACGAAGTGATGGTTCTCATCCTTGTCAATGATAAGGAAGTGTCGCTTGATAGGGGTGTTGCAATAACACTGCGGATTGACATTAGGTCGATAGCCAGGGCACGGATAAACTTGCGTTTTACCTAAAGCCATCCATTCACTCTTGTCCTTTGCTGCATGCCAGAACCACCCAGACGAGTGATACTGGCTAATGTCGCCGAGGGCATCCTTTAAAATCGTAAGCGCGGTGGCGTCAGTCATGGTCTATATGTGGCTTGACTTTCTATCTCCAGTTCCAACAGTAACATTTCAATTTGCACTGAAGAACTCATTAGTTAAGTGTGAAATACAGGAGCACTTTAATTTCATATCAACCTGGTGAAGAATCAACGATACTGATACCGATGCTAGCGGCATTGATCTTGATCCTAACACGCGTATTTAGTGCTGAGATCACCAACTATCTTCAGCAGAAGGCTTCATGCGACACAGCTTTGGTTTTCATGAGCTGGCAGCTACTACTTCAGTACCTCTCTGTGGTCCTTCTAGTGTCCATACATGTTATACATCAAATTTTATCCTCCGTTTAATTCCTTGTTTTTTTAGTGTTGAACTTGGGTCCATGCACGAAAAGGGGGCTGTACGTCGGGCCCTTAAAGTACTCATAAAACCGCAAGTAGTTGATGTAGATGCGATAGTTCCTATCGCCAATGCCTGTTGACGAGATAACGTTGAGCTTGTTGTACATCATCGCTGGAGTTCGCTTATTCGCAATCCAGACCGTGAAACGGATTGCCCAGTACAGAGGTCGGATGTAGTTGTCGTGTTTGGCCTTCGATTTTCGGTGATATTTCAGTAATGTGGCCCACCATTCCTTCTCGCGTCCTTTACCTCTTCCGTGCGTATAGATCGTGTCATCTTTTGTCACCAGTCTTTTGATCGCTATCCGCACGCTCGCGGGTATTATCCCCCTCTCTTCGTCAGTGGCCGAGGTCTTGTGCGCTTCAGCAGTGGTAGAATCGCTTCGTAGAAACCTATCCGTGTCAATGGCTATGGAACTATCATGGTGGCCGGCTGGGGATAAAGGTACTGCGTTGATCGACGCATCCTTGGCAAAGCTCGTCTGCTCTGTATCCGCAATGGCCGAGGTTGTATCGCAGATCGTTAGGACGAGTGGTGTAAACACTAACAAGAGATCCACGTAGTCTGCGAGACGCATCAGAGCTCGCGTATTACTGTAGTAGCTGCGTGTGGCGCGCACAACTTCTTTCGTCGAGTGGGGAACGTCAGGAACACTAAAAAAATGCTCGCCCCTATTCCTGGCAGATTACAGAAAAGTTATTTGCAGAAAATGGCAATCTTGCGCTCTTCGGATTGTCATGATGTCCAATCATTCGTCGGCGTTTGCATGCATCCTCCAGCCCAGCTTATCTCAAGATTCAGTGTGTCTTCCAGTATGAATGAAATGCTCTCAGTTTTGTTCCTGGACTAGCCGAGCGCCGCCGCTACGCGGCGGTAATTTCGGTTTTACTCCAGATTTTTGCCTTCCCGCCTTCGCTTCGCTTCGGCGAGATAATCAGTCCAAATCCTCTGAGTCCCATATATTCCTAAATCGACTTCTTTAATTTCATAAATCTGCGTTTCATTTACTACAAAATGCTGAGCTCCCAGTAAGCCGTGTAAATATTTCTACCGGTACAAAAGACTGAGCCCCTAGCATCATACTTACCATGCTCATAAACGATTACGCTAGTGATCTTGGCAAAATCTCTTTATTGTTGTTGGCTATCACTGTACCTTAATCTTCCACCCAGAAGCACCTGCACTTCAGTCTAAAATCGCTAAATAATATATTTAGTTTAGCGTCGTGCTCGATTTCACGGGCCGTTTCTAAGGACCTAGATTGCATCAATGCAAAGAATATCTGTCCAGCTTGCATCAAATACCCGCTTGTACTGCCTGGTTAAGCTTGTAATAAACTGACTATTAACCACTTCGCAAACCAAACTCGCTACTTTGAAAGAAAATTAAAAGTGCTACAGTTTGAATATTTAATAAAAATATTCAAGCTGTAGCATTTTTTTATGCCTTGAAGTGTGTTCATTTTGTGCTGATTCAGAATTAGTCATTAGACACTTTAATCTGTGCCTGTTATGGTTATAGCCTTTGATATATAAAACGCAAGACGCCTTGCTGTTGTTGTTGTTGACGGCGGTATTTTTATTTGATACTTACTTGATGATTCCAGGCTCTAAGTTGATTAACGTTTCTTTACGGGCCTACTTATAATAACCATAATTGACACCTCTCACTGTTATCTTACCGCTGCATATAAAACCTTATTCTACGCCCTTGTCGGCAACGCGTCTACCTATTAAGAAGTATCAGAATTTTATTGTCTAAAAAACCGCTTAGGAAACAATGGTCAAGTTCAATTCGCTTACAGTAGTAATTGTCATCAGCACATATAACTTATTTTTGTTCACACGTCAATCTAACACTATCTATCTTTGTGGATCAAGTGACAACGTTTATAAGCACAGTTTTGTTCTTACGGCCAGTCTACACGACCGGCTACTGCTGTACATGTAACATGTACGATTTAGCAATACCAGAAACCCACTCAGATAACTTATTAATGCTAATATTTTTACAGTAAATATATTGAAATTATCATTTTATTCAGTGTAACACGCAGATCCTACTGAGTACAGAGTATTTAGTATACTTAAACCATGTCCTCGGAAACACGCATGCTTACGTGTACGCTAAGCACCCTGCCCTCCGTTTACTGTAGTATTCAAATATCAATAACAACTTGCATTATGAAAAAGTATATAATATTTAAACGATGCCGCCTTCGGATAATGTATAGCCTTGTGCAAATCCCCATATGTAAACTGGGAAACACATGCATTTATTGATGTCAACTACACCATCTAGTTTTAACCAATTGAAGACACCTTCGCGGCGCTCGTCAGCCAGTAGAAATATTTAAATTATTTTATCCAATGATTTGTCCGGAAAAGCGTGACAGGCACGACAATTTAGTGTGACGGACAGACAGGTTGCTGCAGTAGATGTTTAAGATAGGTGTAGCGACCATCTGCTGATCTTCAGTACAGCGTGAAAAGCAAGGAATTTTTAAATTAAATAATAGGTGCCATTCTGGATCACTGTATACGTAAATGATGATGATAATACTGCGTAGCAGATTCTACGTTTAGCGCGGCCGCCAAGTCCTATATTACATGTATGACTCCAAATAATACGATACGCGTGGAAATTCAGACATCCAGCGTCAAAATGGTAAGTGAAGCGTTTTTTGTGTGCTTATGTGCCTATCAGTCCCGTAAACCCACGATAGTAAGAAAATATATTGCTTTACAAAGTGTATGCAAACTCAGGATTGTAAAGAATATAATGGTGACACCCCACCTTTAAACTTACCTGGATAAGAGAATATCATCACATTATTTTAAATTCCGACGTGTGTGGTGTCATGAGTACCACGAATATGCTCATAGTTTATCGAGAGTTATTGATGCAGGGCCGATATCGCTCTATCTGATTCATTTCTTAAACACACGAAAATGCAATTCATATCTGGCTGCGCAAAACCTTGTACGCTCGATTGTTATTATCCGAGTAAAATGCTTAACCTCGAATGGAACGACTACAAGAACCGTTCGTTACAACCAAAATCATGAGGTATTACCTAATCTAAGTGGAAAAGCACTTTTATTTGACTGCATACAAATAACATATGCAGTCAAATAAAAATGATTTTCCACTTAGATTAGGTTGTTACTTATATTTGACTTTTTTGAAACTGTACTCACTGTTACTAACTGTAAGTCAAATGCGCTACAGCAGGTTACCAGAATTGATCAGGAGCCTTCTCTCCCCTACACTTTTTTCCTATTGTAGACTGACACATGCTGGAACGTCAACACGATTAATGCTATTAAAAGCTATCTACAGTACTTGCTGTAGCTTTTACTAACACCCATACAACGACCTGACCTCGTAGCTTCTCAGCCCGACGGAGCCGACATTAAAAATTTTAAGGTAAGGGTGTGGGCGGTTTCAAGGTGAGTTCCTGATAACCAGCCCATTAGCTGTGACAAAACCAAAATCATTCAGTTAGCATACGGTGCCAAACCACTCTTACATGTATCTACGAGCTGGTCTTGCTTAATTTCTGGCAAATCGGCCTCTACAGGATTGATGGACATTCTAGCTTCTTCCGCACTCGGTAGTAATAATGTGATTTGTTTGAGGCGGTTGGAAGAGCCGTCGAGCCGTTCCCGACATGCTTCTGTCCCTTATTAGCGGATGGTGCTGTCGACGTTAGAAGGCTTTATGTATACTTTTTCATCTTCAAAATGGTAAATTCGTAGTTCAATGTGGCAAAATGTAAATTCAAAATGTCATTGTGAAAAAAAGGACCCGACGCAACTGCTACCAATCATATCTGACTTCACTTGTTGAATTGGAGCATCACGCCGTTAACGCCGTCAATTGTTCTGGCAGGCACAAAATCCTGACACCTCCGTAGATCGAAAGACTGGTGGGTGAATGCAGCATCCCAATAAAGAACGGCAAACCGAGTCGGTAATTTTCGCGCGAAGTGTTTATCGACAAAGATGATCACCTGTGATATTCTCTGAGCAGTTCATATCGCTTTTGATTGATTTTTAGACCAGGTGACATTTTGAATTTACTTTTTACCATCTTAAACTGCTATTTTGAAATTAAAAAGGTGTATAATACACCCAACGGCTTAGAAAATAATCTACGTAAACATCAAAAATGATTTCGTTTCACACTTTAAGCTTTCAACTCCATGTTTACATTTCTGGCTGTAGTTTCTTATGCTCTCGGTCAAGAGAATCACCCGCTCTTTTTATTATTATAGGTGAAAGTAGCTTTAAAATCTTCTGAACACACATCCCAGTGCGTCATAGAAAATGACCAGAACGCAAAGGATATGCTCGGTGTTAAGGCAGCTTTTCTTTTCTGCAAATTCTACAAAAACCACAGCGATATCAACATTAAACCAGTTTTAACTTGCGCCATTTTTTCAACAACGGGTAAATTTGATTTAAAATTTAGTTCAATTTTGCAAGCATAAAAATGTAGCAAACGACACGCTTGGGTCACAAATTGCATCTGTAAACCATACTTAGCATACTTTAAGTATGCAGTGAACAATAATTTTCATTTTTTCGTGGAATCCAACAGCACCACGCCCAGCATGCAATTCAATTTACGCTGGCTAAAAGTCTAATTTATATTACCGAGCCTAGCGTGCTCGATGTGTTCATGCTCAAGCAAAAAAAAAAAATCCCGAAGACATGCCCCGATGACCTTAACTTTCTGTTAGTCTATACATTGCTACACTCATTTCTCTCGAGTAAGATACAGACGGGCTTCCAAACGCCTTGTGAACACTAACGCCGTGAAGCGAGCATTAATGATTTTTAAAGAGGGGACAGAAAGCGCCATGCAAGTCTCTTTACAGTACTTGAAGTACGTCAAACACGAATTTAGCCATACTCATATATATTTGAATTAACGATAACCAATTTAAAGACGCAAGGGTTTCGTGGACATTCAATAACTTAATGTGTGTTTGTATGTGTGTGTAGGGGGGGGGGTCCGCCCTGCCACAGTTTAGGGACACGTTTTGATCGATGTCAATATTTTTTAGTGTCAAGCAGAAATAAGATGTTGTTAGTTCGTACTGTTTATTTATCTAGCGCTGCCGCTAAATCTAAGAAAATGTTTCTACAGAAATGGCAATTTATCGCTGCCGCTAAAGCCGAGATATCCTTCTCCAGAAACGGGCATTTATCGCTGCCACAATTACGGGATAGTATCATAAGCTGATGTTATGCAGAATGTTTGTATCGGAGTGGCCATCTGTGGCTAGCTTCAACTAAACGTCTGTGTCGGTCTGCGTAGCTTTTGCTGCTCGCTTTGTCTCCTTTGCTTGGGCAACACTACGTTTGTCTTGTTTGGATTTATCGGTAGTTCTCTTTGCTATCTGTTTTGCCTGTGCGAAAATATTTTTTTTTCCTCTTTGGCTTGGGCTGCAACTCTCATTTTGTTTCTCTTTAGCTTGTGTCGTCGCTATTTTTTTCTCTTTGGCTTGCGCAGCAGCTAACTTCTTCTCTTCTAAAGCTACCCACTCAGCCTCCCTAGACTCGGCTGTGGCACGTCTTTTGGCATCATTAGCTTGAGCCGCTGCATCTTATGTTTCATCTTTTTTTAAGCAGCAGCCGCTCGCTCTTGCTTCTTTAAAGCCGCTGCGACCAGGCTGTCGATTCGGTTTTCATCTCTTTTCTTCGGACTTCACACCTTAGTTTCTGCTTCATGCTCTTTTCAGCACGTTTTGATTTTCTCTCAGTTGCCTTCTCGGCACGTTTTTGGTAGATTGCATCGCATGTCATTAAACAACCACCGCTTACAGGCTCATCTTCTAACTCCCCTTCGTGATTTTTTTGGCGGTGTCCGCTCTTCAACCAGCCAATGGTTCATCGATGCAGGTTGCACTCTGTCTACAGCATCTTCCTTGCGCTCAATTTGCTTTGTCGATGTGGAAGACATGCTCACTGCAAGCTTCAATAGTATCATGGCTTTGCTTTTTTAGCTGGTTTATCCCCATACATCCAACCGTCATTATAAAGCAACTCTGTGGGTAAATACCGTTTTTTTAAGCCATCTACAATATGTGCCCGTGTTCAAGCTGACCTAAACGTCGGAGCCGCTGCAGCGACAATATTGGTTTCGTCAACCATTATTCCTGTAGCCAACCACGAGCCACTAAAAATACTAAACGAAGTGTAATGTTACGAGAAAAGAACAAGCGTAACGAGCGTGTTCTATCCCTCCAGTCATGTATTTCTTAGTCACATTCTGACCAGGAAATATAATGAATGGTGGCACAAAATCACCATCGGCATTACCACACGCCAGTAGCAAGTGTCTGTGCATTCCAGATAACAACATGTTTGTCCTCCATTACTGAAATGATTCTGGTATTAATCGTGTATACGGGCTACGCTCGATCATATCACTTATAAAGAGCTTCAATCCCGGTGACGCGAAGCACTCCTTCCGATTGGCTCGAGAATCTACCGAATCGATAAGTCCTATACCTCGCCTTCTTTTAGAACCGGATTTAAGCCAGGTTTTAAGTTCATGGGGTCCGTCGGCGAAGCAAACCGCTTTTGGCTATTCAAGCTGCTTGGCGGATATACATCTTCTTCCAGCGTACTGCAGCTACAGCTAGCTTTATACGCTTGAGTGGGCCCAGGCCTGACCTTACAACCTTCATCAACGAAACGGGCAAAACAGCGAAGGTAGTGGAAGATATGCCTTTAGATACTTCGCGCAGCTCGAGGTTTATAAATAGACAGTATTTTGTATTACTAACTATATGTACACTGTTCCAGAAGTGTGTGTCCCAGAGTAGTGGCAGAACGGATGTCTTGATTGTCCAGAAGCCTGCATCGCCACTGATGTCGCCTTGAATTTCCACTTTAAATTGTATACCCTAGCGCAATTTTAGGGTAACTTAGTATACAGTACGGTATATAGAACCCGTTATGTTCTTATTTGCAACATATAAAAAAAAATTACCATTTCAGAACACAAGTCTGAAAACAGAACCAAAAAAAAATTGTTGGGCTTCGAAGAAGTGCATAGTAGCCACTGGTGGGGCAAAGCTAGCCAAAATAGTAAGGATATTTCTTCCAAATACATCAGTGCATGTATAAGAATTCTCGGAATATACTTACATGTTGAAACCTCAAAGACAATATTTCAAATGTTAAGTATGAGCGAATCAATAGCGATTTAGCATTATCGGATAGTATGAGAAGGTTAAATCTATGTATCATCACTATCATAGGTTCCATTGCGTTAGAATGAAGGATGCTGGAGTGAAGAAGCGATTGGTTACAGCTGGGTGAAACATCCAAGTTGTGAGCACTCTTGAGTACTGTCTCGTTTTAGGAGACCGGAATCCGAAGGAAATCTAAGGAATATTTAGATATTGATAAAGTTGGACTTCGCAAAGGCATTAGACTCGGCTACCGCTGCTGCAGACTTGACGAATTACCGGCCATGTCGTTTGCAGTACCCACGCAGCTTCACAAACCTCTGACAGCTTGGAACGTTGCAGCGTCGACCACCCATGTGAGGGGCACAATCCGGTATACGATCATGGCATTGTTATGTATCGGGAACCCTCACTTAGCATAAATAATGGTATTGGGCAATACATACATTATGACATGTACAGTAATCAACAATAAAATATGAGCATAATGTGGAGCGACTCAACATCATTTTTAAAAATGCACCGCGTTTCCAACACCCGTTTGCCTACTTTGTTCGAACTGAAGAGTGAGCGCTTCAGCAACCTGTGATACTTTGCGTTTGCGGGTTAGTTTTCATTTAAAATGCTGTGTTTTCGTAATGAGGAAGAAATCTTTCATAAATTATGGTAGATTGGTACTTTAGCAAATAAATTATTTATTGCATTCGTGAAGTCGACGAAATAGATATATTTATGATTTCATAAGAATTTATTGACGCCATAATCGGGAGCCCTGCTGCTATCCCTCGTAAGAACAGGGACGTCCGCCACCGTGTGCGATACACAGACCTCGTGCTTGCGTGAGCTTCAAACAGTTGAAGACACGACTGAGACGAGGCTTGGTCAGTGGCCTTGTCAGCTGAGGAATCCATGAAGCCTCGACCCTGCACCAATGCTGCTCGCTGCAGCAAGGGGAATACTACTGGACACCGGTGTGCAAGGCACAGCCTTACAGGGACTTGAGGATGGCTTGGCGAGCTCGAGGTAAGTTCGAGAGTTAGCTGTCAAGCCCAGTGCGCTCCGTTTTTCGAGTGCCTTCGCCGCCCCTCTCAACCCGTGTGAGTAATATTAGGTGGTTACCTAGCTGTGCTACAGCTAAACTAACGGACAAGCAGAGGCATCGTCTCGGCAACGCCAGCGTCCGTTGCAGAGCCAACCCACACCGCAACGGTAGCATCCGATGCTTTCACTGCAGCGCTGCAGGATGCGATGGCGTAGCGTCTTGTCCAGGCTTCACCAGCAGCGCTACTGGCAGCAAGTTGCGGTGTGGTGCTCAGGCTGAGCTTGGCGCGACAGTCCACGCGGAGTCCCATCCGAGCTTCGCTGGCCACGTTACCGGCATGAGGCACACTGGAGTCTGCAGTAATGACGGCGCGTCAGATATCGGGCCCTAAGCACCAGCAGGCAGGACGCAGGAGCGATGTGGAGCGCAGCTCGCCTTCTGCCCCAAGTACGGTTGAAGATCACGGTCACCGAGAGCATAGTGCTGCGCACTTGCAGCTCACATACGACAGTACGTCACAACGACAGCGCACGCCGCCTTATGAGCCTTGTCGAGTCTCCGTGCTTGTGTTCGTTTGGTACATCCCGGAAAGATGCTTTTACGAATGTTTTAGCTAATATTATTATGATGTGAGGTTTTGAGAATAGTCTGAAGTTACCATAACAAGCGAGACGATATAACTGCTAATGTACCCCTCTGGTATATGCCAGGGTGTCCATGAGATACATAAGAAGGGATACCTCGAGAAGTTAAAAGTCACATTATAAAGTACTTCAGGTCTGAAATTTAGCCACGCATGTCAAATTTTGCTTACTCCGGAGTTCCCACCACCGCAATTTTTCAAAAGCGCCGATCCCCCTTAAGATAGAGAAGACTCTTTAGTTGAGCTGGTACATCAGTTATCTGATAGAAAGAAAAAAAAATCAACCTGGCAATTAATCCGCGTTCCTTTTGAGGTCAGACGAATGTAGAGTGTCGATTAATACGCATTGACATTCGCTGTTATTGCTCCTTGCCAGTATGCAATTTTTTGCTATAGACTTGAGATGTTAGACAAGAGGACGCTACATGCAGGCATGTCCGCAGGGTTTTTTTTTTTAATCGCCCATTTGACAGAAAAGAGGGAATCCTAGAAATTTGAAAAGGGGAGTGCTGACTATACTAGTTTTTGTATGGGCATCAAGATTAAGCACTACATCCGCTTTATTGCCCCCCCCCTGGTAGAATTTTCTTCATTTTGAACACTTCAAAAGGGTGTTTCGTACTTTTCCGAAAGCAGTACCAGTGACACCAGATACTATCTGAATTTTCTTTCTACGCTAAAATCCGCTCTCCGATTTATCGCATTACAGGTTCGAGGCTCGCATTGAAGGGCGCCTCTTCAGATTTACCAAGATCTATCGAAGGAACGAGCAAGCCATGGACCCAATCGAAGATGGAGATGACGATGCTTCACACCTTGGAGATATTATGGATGACTTCTACGCGCTCATGTACGAGACGGCTGTGCTGGTAGGACCAACGGGAACAAGTCCTTTGAAGACGAAAGATTCAAGTAAGAAAAAGAGTGGATGTGACTCCCCGCCACGCGCATCTTCGCCAATACACGATGCATACAAGAAACCAAGTAGCGGGGGTCCTTCTGTTAGTGTTTCGGCCTCAACATTCCTTTCGAGAGAAATAATGGACGCACTTCTGCCGCCAAAGTACGTTTAACAAACGTCTTACCCACAAAGTAATTTCGACGACTTATTAATTTCTTTAGAACGTGGCAGGATTCGCAGGGCAAATGGCAACGCATGGTGAGTATGCTACCTGCCACACGGACGGAGACCCAGCGACTCCACGAGACTTTCGACCATCTATTAGAGAAATACCAGGCACGAGTCCACACGATCTGTGCCGTTCGGGAGAAATACTTCTTGCAAATTTTCGGTGCGTCGGACTGGGTAAAGTTTTATTTCTCGGTAAAACTGATAGCACGCTGAATCAACATCCAGAGGAGCTAATTCGAGAGGTTACGTGCGAGTGTCCTGAGCGAGGCCTGATGCTGTTGCGTGTACACAATGAGCTGCGACTTCGAGTTGAAGCGTATCAGACGCTTTACCATAACAGCATCGCGTACGGAAGACAGAAAGCTGTTCAAGCAGAGGCTGGTGTCACGGAGCTGGAACAGGAAATTTGCCGATTGAAAGCCGAGCACGAGCTGCTTGTTTCAAAAAGGAAGGAATTGGAGCTCAAACTTACGGTAAGGTGCGTGGTTTGCCTCAATATATTTTTTTAATTTTACACATTTACTGATAATAACAGACCGTGGAGGAGCAACGCAGTGAGGAGAAGAAGAAGAGGCACCTCCGTCACGCCCATACAGTGCAATTCTTGCGAACTCAACACCAAGAATTAGAGTTTTTCCACCACGAAATGACGCAAGACTCGCCGTGGAAATAAAATACTACGTAACCAGGTTATTAAGGATAACAAACTCGAAATTTCGAAATCTTGCTTTTGAAATGTCGAAAACTAGGTCGATTTCCCGTCCATTGCGGCTCTCGCGTCTTTCAACGACGCAGCTATCTTGTCTGCATTCGCCTTGTAGTCCCAACGTCGCTTCACGATATGGTGCAGCGTCTGTGTGTCCAACGTGGCCAGCTTGCCTTCCCGAACGAATCCGCCCAGATTCTCCGGTGGCAGAGCAAACACATTAGCAACCTCATGCAAGAGGTCGAAGAGGTCGTTGACTGCTGCTGGCACGGACGGAGAGCGGAGTGCTTGACGATATTCGCTCACGTCGCGCAGTAGCATGCAGGCGCCGTCGGGGTCAAAGCGGAATTTCCTCAGATGCTGCAGATACAGATCTTTGAATGACTTCGTAAGAGCTACAAGGAAATGATCGCAGTTCTCCTCGATCTAATGAGAGACGTTAAGTACTGAGTTAGTCAAGTATAGTTGCAGTGTATGTTGCCTTCTATACGCACCAGGACGCGACAGAGGACAGTCACGAGTGGCTGCAAATACTCAGTGCACTTCTGACAGGCCTTGGAGGACGAGAGCGACATGCTGGCTTGACTGCCGAGGAAGTCTCCTTTGTTCTGGTGGGCGGTCAGGATCTGGCCAATCGCCTTCTCCAGCACAGTCAACACTTGCTGGAGTCCGGATCCGATAGCGCTTTCGAGCTTGTTGAGACATTTCTGCTTGCTCTCTTGGCAGATTCTAAAGAGCACCAAATGGAAATACGTTAAAAGTGATCGCTGCAATGTCATAAAGAGCGTCAACGTACGTGAGCTCGGTAGGCAAATCCTCCTGCAACGGCGTAATGGAAGCTTCGAATTGGTCGTCGAGGAATTGAGTAAAGCCTAAAAGCGACATCCATTTTAGCAATATTAGGTCGAAATTTGGCTTTTACTGACCTCTGTGAGGATAAAAAACTGCTGCGGGGAATCTGGAGTTATCCGCTGTTCTTGTGAAATCTCCTTGGTCAAAGTCACGAGTTTCTACAGAGACAACTGTGTCAGTATGAGGCGTAATAGGGACATGTACAGTACGACGCATCCCCAAATACTCGTCTCCAAATGAGGCCACGAAAGACGTGAACGCCTTGGTGATGAGCTCTCCACGTAGCTCGGAGCTTTTCAAGACAATGTCGCAGCGATCAATTGTCTCGTTCAGCACTTCCCCATACTTGATGGCTACATCTTCGTCTTCCGCCAGCGCTTGGAGAGTCTCGAAGAATACAAGCGACGACTCCAATTGGGATATATCTTTCTCGAGATTGGACGACGATATCGACGTCGTGGAGGCTGAAGACACCAACTGAATGGAGGACGCCGATGGAGACGACGAGGATGTAATCGTGACAGTTGTTGTAGCCACAGTTTTGGTTTGGGATACGCCTCCTTTGCTTCGGGAAAGTACGGGCGGCTGGGGAAACGATACTGAGGCTATGATGTCCTTGAATTGGTCTTGCAACAAGTCCAGCTCTGCCTGTAGATACTTGTCTCGATGGTTGCCAAACAGAGAATGGAGCTGGAGATTGAGAAACGTGTGGATTCTCTCGTTCTCGTTGGCAGCAGGAGGTTCAGTCAAGTGATCGTCGACGGTACTCGAGTCTTGGTTTGATACAGCGTCTGGCTTGTTTGCTTTTGACTGGTCGATATCTTCGATCTCAGCCACCAAGACACACGCTCTCTCGTACGATGAACACAACAGTCGCACGTAGTCTCGGTTCGGTGAAGACGACGTGGAAGAGGATGCACTTTCAAAGTCTGGGGGCGATTCAGTGTACCGACGGGTTTTGAGAAATTGGTCCAAGAAGGATAAAACCCCAAACGCTGGGTCGTTGAACAAACGCTCCACTAGCAGCTCGCGGATGGAGGCGCAGGCTACAGCAGGGAAGACGCTGTCGATCACTGGAAATTGGTCCGTACAGATGGTCAGGATCTTGGAGAAGAGCGCGTCCAGATCCTCAATCGGATCCAGTGACGACGTGACAGGCTCCCCAGCAGCTCTACAGTCAGCAGCAGTTAGTCGCATACAATAACTCAGCCAAAAGATTGAAATTCTGCCTCGTACGTTGCTAGTTGATCGCACATGACGTTCCACACGTATCGATCCGCCACCTTCTCCTTGTCGTTGTACTCGATTAACGACTCGGCACATCGCCGCATCCCCGTCAAGTTTTCTTTCTCCTGTTCGTGGCTGAACTCTGTCAGCAAATTATTCTCCGTCGTCTGACTCAGTCGCTCGATCTCTGCCACCGCATACGCCATGGCAGAAGACGACAACTCGGAGGAAAACGCACTCATCTTCTTGATAATCCGCGAAGCTTCATGCAGCTGGTTGGGGTCGTGTAGTGTATTGAAAAGTTTGTTACTTGACTTGGTCAACTTGCTACTGGGGTCGTTCAGAGCCAATAGCGCCTCCATCACCTCGTCCGTCTCCAATACTCGGGACCGCTCCGTATCCAACGTCGACAGTTTATCTCCAATCGTCACGGCCGAAGAACTCACTTTAGTAAATCTCTCCTCCAAGTCTTCCATCTGAGCACAAATATCCTTTAAAAATAAATAAAAAGACACTGTCAGTCTCTAGATTCTACTGTTATATTTATTACTAATATTACATTAAGCAGCATATCCGGCTTGAGGAGTCCCTCGTGGAACTTGCTGCTCACTCGTCGACTGTCCTGTTCCAGTTCTGCAATACGGTTAGACACCACTTTGCGGTGCTGGACGAGACGCTCAATCGACGCAGCCAATACACTTTGGAGAGCGTTGAGCGATGACGTGTGCTGGCTGAACGAGGTGAGACAGCTCCTTGTGTCGAAAGTCGGGTCTGTTGGCTCCCACGTGCTCGCTAACAGCTCGTCCACCATCGTCTCGGCGTTGTATGTGCCATGGATGGAGTCAGTGGCGGCTGCCAGGAGCTTCTCAAGCTCCGCACTTGGGCCGGAGATCGAGGGAGGGCATGCTCCCCATGTGGAGACTTCATCGCGTCCCGTCATCTTCAACGTCGACCCTTCAATTGTTGAAAATTGATTTTATTATTGTATTAAAATGATTATATTTCACAGTAAATGAAAAAACTGTGAAATTTAATCAGTTTAACAATATGAAATTCAATTTTCAACATGCTGTCTCGTTGTCTACCCATTTCAAATGATTTGCTTTTAATAAATGCTCATGGATTAGAGGACCCACAATGGCTGGCTCAGCGCTACAATAGCTGAGATGTTGTTGACGATAATATATTTCAGGGCAAGGGTGGCGACAGGGAGGAATACATTCATCCTGATGACGTCGCCCCGTTTAACGACACAGATATAGATGGCTTTGCCGAATATTTCTTTGATCGTGATGGATGATGCTAGCAGTGCACACACGGACGGCAGCAGGTAGCTTGTTTTGGTAGCGCTTGAAGCGACCGTCTTCGTGCAGCGATGCTGAGGCTGCAGCGGTAGGCGCACCACCCCCTCATTCGTCTATAGCTTCTTTAGCAATAACCGGTCTCGGCTTTTTTGCGAGGTCCCCATGTAACTCGCTTGCAGCCTGTTGAACAACAGGCCCTGTTCTAGACGTCGATTGACATCACGAGGCGCCTCAAGAGGCGTGGGGCTCGTAAATCGTAGCCAGGTTTTGAATGCTTAAAATAGCGATGTTGGTAGACAATAATGTCTAGGAAGTAGCGTTTGTATACTATCTTTGATGCTACCTGGGTTTCTGAAAATCGTCGATTTTTTCATCTGGACATGTAATCGACCTTTTTATGATTGTTTTAATCTAAAAAAAGTTGACGAGATAAAAGTAGAGTGCTATCCAAATTAAAGGGGTACCATCGCTTTAATTTGGATAGTGATTCCTCCGGATAGTGATAAGCAGTGGCTTTTCGACGATATCACTATAAAGACGATTGGTTGACTCTGTGGTTGTAACGGGGTACGTAGCCCTTAGTGTACCCTGGTTACATGAAGTATGACACTTCACACTTCAGGAGTATGACACGTCATACTCCGGGATATTTGGTACAAGGTACCAAGGTCGTTCAAAGCCAACCATTGGTTAAATGACATTGCATTTCTATAGGTAACTAATAGTTTGTATTAAACCCAAACTTAACCTACCTATAAATATACTCGGTTTACAATCTACCTTATTTAGGTCATCGCTCTCTTTAATTAAAGAGGGGACCTGTGAACTGCCGTTCACTGAGAGTTTGTATACTCTCGGAAGATAACTTCCTCTAGCGCAAGGTGCTGTGTGACCCCGTCACACTTGGTAGCACTAGTAGTCAATCCACGCCACCGCGGGTAGACTACCTAAACCTCTCCGAAGTTCGTTGCCATGGATAGGAACGACTTCTCCCATTTGAACGACTCTCAGTTCGAGTCGGTTCGGAAGATGGCAGGCATCTTCGGGATGGAGGCCCTGCTGAGCCTGGTGGTGTCAACACCGGCTGAGCAGCTCGAGCGCGTCAATGCATTTGACGCGTACGAGCAGGGCCTCATCGCGCATGTGCGGGAGAACCTGCAGGCTCCGGCGGCGGAAGCAAATCCGCCTCACCCGAAGCCAATACGGCTGAAGGTTAAGCCGTATGAAGGGAAGGAAGGCGAGAACCTTCACTTCTGGGTCCGAGAAGTAGAGCTCGCGATGGACGCGGCTCTGATCTCGACCGAGCAACTGCGTGTTGCTTTTGCACTCTCCAGCCTTAGCGGTCGTGCTAAGCGTTGGGTGTACACTCGGGAAGCAACATCCCCTGGATGTTTCACATCCTGGGCTCAGCTGTGCGAACAGCTCCGAGCCGCGTTCCTCCCGGCGAACTACGAGTACCGCCAGCGTTCGCGCTTCCTCGCGTGTAAACAAGGAAGGCGCGAACTGCACGAGTATGTGCAAGAGATACGGGAGCTCACGGCGTCCCTAGTGGGAAACCCACTCAACGAACACATCAAGATGACCGTGTTCATGGACGGCCTTCGAGTGGGCCCCGCACGCACTCAGCTGTTCCGGGTGCAGTCAAGCACCCTTGAAGAGGCGATTCAAGTGGCTCTTCAAGAAGAGTACAGCCATCGCCAGGCCCGTACGCCGGCCTCAGCGTGGCCTGGGAGTTCCTTGTCGGCTCCCGGTCGAACAAGCCCCAACGGACCAGTTCCCATGGAACTCGGGTCCGCCGAACAGCGTGACATCCGCTGCTTCGGCTGTGGGAAGATGGGTCACTTCAAGCGCGACTGCCCCGCGGAAAGACTCCGCAGACGGTCCTTCCCTAAGCCCGTCCTCAAGGATCGCTGGCAAAAGCCAGGATCCCGGGGACAGGGGAACGCAGGGAACCAGTAGGGGCGGGGCGCCCTACTGGGGAAGAACTAAGTCTTTGTGATGGGTGCGCGGGTGGCGCGTACCACGGGGACTTAGCCCCTGAGAGTCTTCGCACTCTCGAATCGGCGAAGAGCAGCGGCGGGTTGCTCGTAGTACACGGATGTGTACGGGGATACGATCATCCCTTTAGAATCTTGATCGATTCTGGGGCGTCGAAGAATTTCGCACGCCGCCAGACGGTTGCTCGTAACAGCAACAAGTTGTCTGAAGCTTTGAAAGAAAGCAAGGGCAACGGGACGGTGTCAGTGCGACTGGCCGACGGGAAGGTCGTCACTGTCCCCAACGTCCAAGTGGATCTGGCTGTCAAGTTTGAAGACTTTGACAGCCTCGAACAGTTCACTGTTCTCGATATGGATCCTTATGATATGATCCTGGGCATGCCCTGGCTTGAGAAGCACGAGCCCTGGATCGACTGGCGAGGCAAGGCAATCGGTGCCAGCCGCCCTGCGCAGTCCGACAGAGCATTGGTGAGTCATGTTCCCACCTCTGTCAGGACCCGGGGCGCCCGCGAGGGCTGCCAAGGTACCAAAGCATCCGGCAGATGCTTGGGAGTCGTCGACGTATATGACGACTCCGAGGATGTTTTGATGGTGGCCGCGCCCAGAAGAGGCGCCGGCCAAGTGGGTAACTTAGGTCCACAGGCGGGTAACTTAGTTCCGCAGACAGCTGCAGCTGTCATGAACACTGAGAACAGCGTGTTCAGAGTGGGTAACAGAGCTTCACTCACGGTCGCCCAGACCATAACTGAAGAGGAAGACGTCGGATACCCTTCCTGTGTGGGTAACACAGTGCCACACGCGGTCGCCAAGACCTTAACTGAAGAGGAAGGCGTTGAACACGCTTCCTGTGTGGGTACAACAGTACCACACGAGGCCACGAGTGCCTCGGATGTCGTAGCGACGACATCCCTAGACGTGGGCAGCAAAGCTCCCCGTCACAGACGCCGTCGGCAAAGACGCCGCCGCCTCAAGTCGGATCCGAACTTCGTTCCGATCGACGTCGCTTCAAGCGACTCGGAGTCCAGGGCCCGGGCTCCTCCGACAAGGCCGGTGGAAGAGTGTTATCACATCTTCGATGGCGGACGGGCTTACCCGTCAAGGCATCTGGTGTCCACTTGGAACCGTTGCCAGAGGCTGCAGAGATACTGCACCTCGAGGAAATGACGGCTGAGTCTTTCCTGACCAACCTCAAGGCTGGACAGATTGCTGAGATGGTACTCATACGACCTGAGACCACTCAGGAGGAGCTGAACTCCTCCTCTGTCTTGGACGAGAACGTCCTGGAAGACATGAACAAGCAGCGTCAGGCGCGCTTGGGCTCTGAGATTCTCAAGAACCCCAAGGATCCGGTGTATCCTTTGGTGACGGAGTATGCGGACGTGGTGAACAAACACCCACCGACCCAACTCCCACCGGATCGAGGCGTACGGCACGAGATTGATCTCGTGCCCGGCAAAAAGTATTGTGTCACGAGGCAATGGCCTCTCCCGCGCGAACAGTGCGAGGTCATTGATGCCTCCTTCGCCGCGACAGCGAAGGCAGGCATGGTGCGGGAATCGAAATCCCCGCATTCGACGCCGACTTTCTGCGTTCGTAAACCGAACGGAAAGTGGCGTCTGGTTCACGCTTATAACAAGCTGAACAACGCAACGGTGCCGGCCCAAACACCAATCCCACGAAAGGATGTGTTGTTGAACAACATGGCCGGGAGCGTACTGTACAGTGCGCTGGATTTGGTAGACGGATACTACCAAATCCTGATGCAGGAGAGCGACATCCCGCTCACCGCGGTAAGCACCCCAAGCGGCATGCTTTGGGAGTGGCTCGTCATGCCGCAGGGCTTGTCTAACGCCCCGGCGACGTTCAATCGCCTGGTGACGCAATTGTTCCGCCCTTTGCGTACCTTCGTACAGACGTACTTCGACGACATTTTCGTCCATAGCCGTGCCGAGGGAGGCAAGACGGCCATGGAGGTGCATCTAGGACACCTCCGTCGAGTGTTGGACGTAATGCGAGCGAACAAGCTCTACGCCAACATCGACAAGTGCGTTTTCGCGTCACCAGATATTAAAGCTCTAGGCTGCTTCGTAAGCAACGTGGGCGTTCGGGCTGACCCAGACAAGGTCAAGGCCATAGCAGCATGGCCAACGCCCCGATCCCAGAAGGATCTTCGAAAGTGGTTGGGCTTGGCCAACTACCTTCACAAGTACAGCGCTGGGTACGCGGGCTTCGCTAAGCCCTTGTCGAGCCTCCTTCAGAAGGACGTCGACTGGCGCTGGGAGAAAGAGCACCAGGATGCTTTTGACAGCATCAAGGCCAGTCTCCAAGAGGCCCCTGTCCTGGCCCTGCCGGACGAGACGAAGCCGTTTAGCGTCGTCTGCGATGCCTCCGATTACGCCATCGGATGTGCATTGCTGCAGGCCGACACGGCTGGACAGGAACGAGTCATCTCGTTCCAGTCCAGGCAGCTCAAAGCCGCCGAGCGGAACTACCCTGTCCATGACAAGGAG